ATATTTTTAATGAATTTTGGAATAGAATATTCTGATTAAACATTTAGATTGTATGAAATAACTATATATACCCTACACCACTACCACATACTCACACTGGCTACAATGCTTATGGAGCCCAAACATGCATGTGTAATAAACACAAATTGTAAAAAAAGAAAAAAGAAAGTATACCCTTTTATTAGTTTTAGAATGTTCCAAATGCTTTCTATTTTATCACATTATATTTAATCAAATAAAATACTTTAAAGGATTTGGAGTGAGGAACTTTCCCTGTGTAGTCTTGAGCTAGTAAAAATAGAGCATTAATATTCTCTTTCTCAAAGAAAATTTCACTTACCTGAATGAATTTAGATTGGTTTCTTTTAATATGCTAAGAACAGAGAATCCTATATATGATAGGTTATACTAGAAATTACATCTTATGCTGATAAACTAGAGTTGATGTATTTCTTGGGTGAAAGTAAATACTCAGGAAAGCAGTAGAAAAAAAAAGGACATTAATAAGACTCACCTCTTTGGGAACAAAGAATGTAAAATATTGTGATTAGTACCCTTTACTCCAAGCATTCTATTTTATTGTACTTTTAAAGTCATGCTTGATTTTTTTCATATTTATTCTTTTGCTCACGTGAGGAAGTGAGTGACTGTTGCTGTTTCTTCTCTTGAAGTTGCCCATTGTTATTGTGAGCTCTGTGAGTCCTGCCTGACTTAATAGTTGAAGAAGTTTTTGACTCATCTTGTGGTATTAAGAGAAGAAACAAAGTTTTAAAAATCGTTGAAACTGTTGTATTTTTCTCAACATGTGTTTCTCTTAGATTGTTGAGGCAAACTTTAGAAAACAGCCTCGAGGGACAAAAAATGTGAATGAGTTGGCTTTAGGGAGTTTCAAAAAATGAAGCTTGGAGAGATCTAGGACTTGAATGCAGAGCCAGCACTTAGGGATCAGAATGTCTGCTGATAGCAGAGGTCAAGGCAAGAAACTGGGGAGGTGAGGGATGGCATATTAAGGTCTTGCAGGCCAGGAGAGCCACGGGGAGTTGCTGGGGAGCAGAGTGGCTCATAAGGTAATTAGGTCAAAAGGACAGCCAGATGTGAGATACTTGTAAGAAAAAAACTGACGTTAACTCCTCATTTGGCGAGCAATCAGTTTTTGGATGGGACAAAAATCACAACTCACATGTAAGAATAGGCAAGCCACACTGTAAAGACTTTTAAGTTAATTTGGCAAAAATTAGAACTGAAATCAGGTATAAAGACAGATTCTCTATAATATCAATATAAGCACTAATCTAATTAAATTACATTAAAACTTGGTTTTTGATATAATTTGTCATTTTTTGAAAACTACAATGTGTTGATACGTAAATTTGGGAGAAAGTAGCATTTCTCTTTATAATACCTACCTAGTTAGGGGTGTCATGTTGCTAAGCTCCTCTTGCCACTAAAACATCATCAGTACACATCATTTGTATTTATATGTGAATTCCATAGATTAAGTTGTTTTCAAGTTAAACATGTTTTAGCTCTAGCACTTTTCATCTTTTACTTGTCAGTAAAACACATTAACAAGGGAAGAGTAATGAAAGAGTTAACAAAGACTGCCAGAAACCTTGACTAGGCTCTGAGGAGAGAGAAGAGTACTCCCATCTTGTCTGTAGTGAAGAAAACTTGAGTCTCAGGGACACCCTAAAATCCTTAGGGATCCTCTGTAAACATCAGAAACAAGAAATGAATTTTCAGAGTTTTAATAATGAGCAGTAGCTGATTGGATATTCACATTCTGTTTTAGTGTTTTATCAGGAGTTCTGCACTGCAGCTTTTATATTTTGGGTGCTTTTGTTTTTCCACCCATATCAGTTAAATTTCTTAAGTTTTTTAGAATGATTTTCTTTGTATCAAACATTTAGCAAAATTTATTTGCTAGTGAAGCTGGTTTTACTACAGACTTGTAGAAATGGTTTAATTTTGAAAGTTGATGGGAGTCCTGATTACCAGTTCCTCTGCCTAGAATAAATTTTGTGTACGTTATCAGTTTTCGTCAGTTACACTGACAGTGCTGGGCCAAGACATTTTCCTGCCTGTTAATCGAGGCCACACAGACAAAGCTCAAGGAAGGATGACCCCTGCCTCAGGAAGTATTGAATCAGTTGCTATTTATAACCAGTATACAGTAGAACTTGAGATCAGGTCTTTACTCAGTTGATAGGAAAAAGGTGTCTGCCAAATTTTGCATTTGAGGAAACAGTTTATGGGCCTGAATGAGTGAAGCCTCTATGTGAAAGGAAGGAATGTGACAGTGACAGTAAGTATTTTTGCTGATTTGGGTCCAGGGTGTGGTAGCAGAGATGTGGAAAGTTCAGTCAGTGACAAAATAGGTTATTACATTTCAAAGCTACTGATAATTAATGGCACTTCGGATTGTCTTTAGCACTATGTGAATGGAATTCTGTGCTGCTAATAGTAAAGTTGAAATAAGGGTATGTGATGAGCTAATATTATCTCTCAGCATAGGACTGGAGAAGGAAATCAGCTCTTGGTGTGTTTCCATACTAACTGGCTCTTCCTTTGGATGTATACATAAACTCTTTAGTTATTTGAGGTGTGTTTCCGTATGCACTTTATGATATTCTGTTGGTCCTTGTTTCATTAAGACAAGGTTTCATAAAGAGTTGATTTATTACAAAATAATATTATATGCTAGCATGTGTAACCTCTTATAAAACCTCCTTCTACCTAACTTTATGAAATTAAATATGGTAGAACATTAAAGCAGACAATTTAAGAAATACCGTAAGGAATATTTTCTCAGCAATATTATATCACCATGTTAGGGATGCATTTATGGAGTTGAATTGCTTAATGGGTTACAGGTACATCTTTACATATGCAATGTAAATAAGTTATTTGGGAATAAGGTGGACAGTGTTTTAGTGGAGTTTAAATTGGAAAATTACAAAACTGTATTAACATATTCTTGTCTCATTTTAATAGGATTATTCAAGATAAAGTTGCAGCCATTTTCAACAAGGATTGATGACCAGAATTTTTCTTTTTAAAAAAAGATTTCCACTTTGAAGATGAAAGGGAAATACTGGAATTGTTTGGATTCTAACTGACAGGATAAAGAATACAGTATTTCAGTTACTTACAATGGAGCCTTAGTAAAATTCTTCGCTTGTCATGCACCCAACTGGGAACATGGATGTTGGTTTTTCTCGTTCTGCTGCTCAGACATTGTCAAGAAGCCACTGCAAAAACATCAAACAAAAAATTTCTCAGTGGGAAGGAAGAACTAATGGTGTGCCTAATCCAGATAAGTGGCATCCAAAGGACTTCGGAGTGAGATATAATAACTGTAGTCAAGAGATCCTTCTTAAGAAAAATCCTGTTGCTGAGGGGAAGGGCAAAAAGTTGGATGTAACCAACTGTCCACATGTTGATCTAGGTATTAATGAAGATGCCAAAAGCCATGATCAAAGTGAGGATGAAAGTGAGAAACGTGAGCCTGATGATGCACAGTCCTTTAAAAACGAATCAGAATCCAATATGGGATGTTCTCGGGTCAAACAAATTGAAAGCTTGAAAGAAGTTTTGGATCCAGAGACTTCATTACCTCCAGGAAATTTCTATACCTCACAAATATTATGGAAGAAAATAGAAGCACTTCCCCCAGATAAAGTCTTAAATTTGGCTTTAGAACATTGTGACTCTTCAGAAAAAGAACTGAACTTCAGAATTGTGGATAGTTCATATGGAATAACGAAGAGCCTAGAAAATATTTACTCTGAACCTGAAGGACAAGAATGTGGACCTTCTATAAATCCTTTGCCAAAACCTCGTAGGACATTCAGATATTTATCTGAATCTGGTGTTACACCATGTAAAGAAACAAACTGTGACAGAAAATACTGTGAAAATAATTCCTGTGCAGAGTCCTCTTTGGCCTCTTCTCAGGACCCAGAACTAAAGAAATATGGTGGAAAAATCAGAGGGAGATCTAAAAGGTATGTTTTTATTCGATAGGTAATGATTTATAAGTACTTTCCTTACAGAACTGTTGAGCTGCTTTTTGCCTCTCAAACCAGTTTCCATTTCCATGTGTGGGTTACACCTCTGGTTTGATTATACAGATGTTGGTTAACCCAAGGGGAAAATACATACAAGAGAAATACTGTAAGTATAGGTAATATCCGAGACAATCTGCTGATATAAGAGCAATAGAAAAACTTCTGTTCATGTCTGTAAAAAGGTGCAAGGGAAGCTACTTTCTTCCGCTTCATTTAGGGCATGCCGGTCTTAGCCTCACTTTTCCTTAGGGAGTGAATTTACTAAAGGTACCCAAAGAAGAACATGAATGTAATTGGCTAAATACCTCCAGTTTTCTCATGGTGCATATAGGGCATCAGCCTTGTTTATTGCTTTTAGGTATCTGATAAAACGCCTTTGTAATTTTGCACACAAGTCCTTTACTTATCAATTTCTGTCTATCATACCAATTTAAAGAAGAATTTTTAAAGGTAAAACTTTAAATATGTCTCCTTTCTTAAGGAAATCCTTTGAATATGAGGATATTCAGCACTTTCGAAATCGGAACACACAGAAGGTTCACAAAGAACTTGGAAGAAATTCCAGCTCAGCACTTTATTACACACAGTCTGAGGACAATATTTATGAGGATATCTTATGTAGGTATCCATACACTTTGCAATTAAATTTAATGAGTATGTATTTGGTGGGGCCCTTAACTATATAGTATGGCATTTTATAATCAAGCATGTCTCGTTCCAGAGTTTTCTTTTTAATATTGAAACCTTTGTTGTATAAATGCATTTATTCTCTGATGGAATTTACTAGTTTAGTGGACTGCTCGGTTCAGAAGTAGATGTCTGTAGTATAGTGTTTTGAGAATTCTGTCAGCTCGGTTGGGCACCTGAGTGGTTTGCGAACTTAAAGAACCATTGATTTGGAGACCTATAGCAATGTAGAGTAGAAAGCTGAACGTATTTATTCAGTTCTCTCTTTCTTTTCCACTTAAGTGTAATCATTTTGTTTCCATTTAGTTATGTTCCTCTAAACTATTTTTTTCCCATTACTTTTCAAGATCCCACCAAAGAAAATACGTATGAAGATATTCCAGTACAGCCTTTGCCCATGTGGAGATCCCCTTCAGCATGGAAGCTACCACCCCCTAAAAGTACTTTCAAAACACCCAAGGTATAAGCAGAGAATTAGTGTAAGAAAACATTAGAATCTTATTTATGATCCCTACAAAAAAGGGTTTAAATGGCTTAAGTGGGGCCAAAATTAAGAGGCATTTAAATGTGGGTTTTATTGTTCTTTGTTTTGTTTTTTGAGGGGCAACACAAAATCTTTTTTTGGCTTTGAGGAGGGTTTTTGTTTGTTTTTTAGTACTTCAAAACATTTGAATGTAAACACCTTTAGATGGGCCATGAACTTTTCAGTTCGCTATAGTTACCGCAGCTCCCTAATAGTCTCACATCAACCTGTGGCCTAAACTAGCTGTCTGGTCCCTGAAAGCCTTCACCACCCCTGACAGCAAAGGCTGCCTCGAGTTAATCAGGGCTCTGAGCCGTTGTTTTCTGGAAATTTAATTACATTGTTGTAGAAGAATTTTGGAGTAGAAACCTAAGAAACTTCTTTACAAATGCTGAAAAAGAAATTATGGTATCCTCACTTGAGATGATTTTAATGGAAAGACAAATATTTTTCTGGAACATCTTTGACTGTTTGAGAACGCAGGCATTAACTAGATGTTCTTACCCTTACCAGCACATCTTCTGTTTTTTTCAGCTTCCTCCCAAACCTCAGTTTTTTCAACGGAAGACTATGGAACTGAAGAGCTCACAAGCTTATTTATGGTCAAAGCTCACAAAGGATACTACTTTGCCCGTCACTTTAACTGAATGGAAGCTTTTCCGAGCTGGAGAAGTTGCAAACAGGAAAAGGAAAAATCTTCCAAGAGTAAGGACTCTAATACTTTTATTCTTTGATCCTTACTTCAGCATTTCCATAAATGAGAATAAAATTTAGACTGAAATGAATAATAGGTTAGAACTGACCTACTGGAATTAGAAGATTTGGAAAGCAGCCTTAAGTTTTAAGATTTTGCTCATGCAAGAAAAATGCATGAATGGGGCTTTTGCCAAGGTTTGTGTATGTGTGTGGACTTGGAAAATTGATGTTAGATGGAGAGCTTCACTAAATTCTTAGTTATTATTAGTTCTCATTAGAATCAGCTGCCTGTTTCAGGGAAGCACTAGAATTTCACCTAAAAGGACCTTCTATTAAGCAGGCTTCAGTGTTGTTCTCACTCATTTATATAATAGCCAAAGTTAATTCAATTTTGTACTCGAGTTTACAGATTTTCATTAATGACAAAATATATGCCAAAAATTTCCGCTCAGAGGAAGGAGAAAAGGAAATTTGACTATTACTTGGGAATAGAAATTTTCACCAATTATACTAAATAAATGACTTCTCTCTCAAAGGAGAAAAAGGAGTAGGTCTGTAAACCATCTCAATGAGAGCCAATGAACCAAAATGAAGAAATTGAGATTATTTGTAATTCATATTTCTTTAGGAGACACACTTAAGAAATCACATGAAAATATTTTAAAACTCTTTTTGTTAGTTTGTTCTTCTGTAATTCAGAATGTTTTCAGGACTATGTTGCAGAAATGAAGAAATCAAATCATTTAAATAGTGTTCCTTTCCTTAATCCCATCTGAAATGCCTGTGTGTATTTATTTAGCGCACGATTTTTGTATGTGATTTTAACATTAAACAAAATCACGGCTGTTTCTTGGTTTAGGTAACTGCTGATTAGTTCCTTGGGAAATATTCGATTCCACAATTACTTTAATTCTTCTGATCCATTTCCTGCCCCTCCCTCTTTAATATGTGAAGAGCTAAAGACAGCTAGTTCTTTAAAAGCACTAAACTGATCTCTCTGAGTGGGAAAAAAGTCTTTAGGTGTTTGTTCTCGTGTGTATGATGAGGAACACTTAAAAGTCAGAGGTTTAAAGAACTGCCAGGCGTTCTACAGTAGTTCTGTCCTCTGACAGATCATGCTGGCACAACAAAGCAGCCTCCCACATGTTCCAGAAACAATAGATCATGTGTTCATAGGGGCTAGAACACAGACACATAAGGGGTTGCATTTAAGATGTGGTTCTTGGAATGGCATTAACAAATATTTAGGAATTATGGATCATGGAGTTTAATGAGACCTGAGGAGATCTGCAGTGCTTTTGATTTCATGCCTTGGTGCTTTATGGACTGTGGGTCCCTTGCGTATGCAAAGCTTGTTCTTGTTCTCATCGTAGGTGAGATGATCCAGCTTTTTTTATTCTAATATTTTCCCAAAGGTTCTTTTGAGAAGCAGGGAAGAGAAAAACGGTGATGAGTTCTTGATTGTCAGGCAGAAGCAGACTGTTAGCATTTCTACCTGTGATACTCCTCAGATTAAATCCTTTTAGGATGTTCCGTTTGCAGTACGAATTTTGATTTTGGAGTATCTTCAGGAACAACATTCCATGAGGAGAGCAGTTTTCGTTGATTTCGTCTTTGATGACTAGAGCTATCCCTGGAAGGGAAACTGGTTTCATAGTATGAAAATAACTAATCTAGTCCATATGTCTCTTCCCCACCCTTCCTTTCTTTCTCTGCTGTGGAAGTCTGTGTGGGATTGTTTGCTGGAGTAGATTTCCTAGGGTTTCATATTGTTTGTGTCAAATGTGACAGCAATATGGTTTCCATCATTTCTTAGGAAGAATATTCTACTATATTTGCTGTAATTAAAGGTTTTGTAGGCTCCTCTTCCTAGCTCGTAACCAAAATTTAAGTTTTATTACTTTATCTCGTATTTCTAGAACAGAGAGTTCCCTTTCCTTTATAACATTTGAGTATACTTTTCAAATGCATGTTACTAATCCTACTATTTTTGGTCATTATGTATTCAACATACATGTTTATTCTCATACATCTTTCCTGTAGCCCCTAACAATACCCTTTTATTCTCTTATTTTTTATAATGCTAATATTTAAGAATATTGGTAACTTTTTACTTGAATTATAGCTATAAAAATCTTCAAAAGGACAAACATCCAAAAATATGGGAATAATCTGCATATTGGAAGCACATGCTTCTCACATGTTATTTTTTCTTGCACTGGACTGAGTCACTGCCTATGGATTGCCAGGATTGCTGGAGAAACAAGGGCAAAGGAGAAAACAAGCATTTTTCTCAAGCAACTTGGTCGGTTGTCATATAATCTTCCTAACAATTACAATTCTGGGTATTAAATATGTTAAATCAGGATTGATATTTAAGAAAAAGCTTGGAAATTTTTAAAAATTTGGGTGGGGGGAGGAATTAGATTTATTTATTTACTTATTTGTTTTTTAATGGAGGTACCAGGAATTGAACCCAGGACCTTATGCATGCTAAACACACTCTTCAACTGAACTATACCCTCCCCACCAAGTTTGGAATTTTTTTATTGGAATTTTAAGTAAAAAGAAAAATATACATGAAAAAACTAATCAATACCTCATTTTAAAAGTGGATGTTAATCAACTTTAATTCTTTCCTCTCTTTTAAAGCCCATCTGTATATATATCTGTCTCTGTCTCTATCTTATACACACTTTCAAGGAGCAAAGAAAGAATTTATATGAGTAATGCTGTTTAAATGGAGCATGGTTTTTGTACTTGGGCATATTTGAGAGTCTCCTGTTTTTATGACATGTTTCTAAGATAAATTGTAATATTAGGATTCCCAGAAGCAAAGTTTTTCCTTTGACAAAAACTTTCTAAGCATGATTATCCTCTTTGCAAAGAATTCCTTGGAGCAGAAATAACTGAGCCTCACCCTGTCTTCCAAGTGAATAAATATTCCACTTCCTACTCTGGGCAAGCGAAAACTTGAGTCCATTGGTAAGGCTTGGTCAATCTATGGAGCGCAGTAGCCAGGTTTCCTGCGTGTTGTGGCATGGTATGACAAGCAGTCTCTCTCAGAGCTTTTGTTCAGTTCCTCTGGAAAGGAAATATCCTTTCCCACTTCTGTGACCGACGTTAAATGCATTTTGTATTAGAACAACATATTATCTTACTAAAGATAATTCTAGATTCAAAATTGAAAAATGTGAAGGGTTTTGTTTATAAAATGGATCTTTTTCTGAATGAGAATCACTAATAATTTAAATTAATATCATTAAGTTGAAAAACCTGTTGGTGTTGGTTTTAACTTGTACTTGTCTGGTCTTTTTTCAGCTTGTATTGAAAATAGATGATATATTTGAATCTAAGAGAGGGAAGAAGAGGGTAAAGTTACACCCTTACACTGGAAAAGATGTACCTCCCTCAAAAGGTAAGAATTGTTCCAACTGTCCATAGCTATTAGCATATGAGGGGCAAAGCATTATATAATTTAATGTTTGATGTGAATTATAATTTTTGGTTTACTTTCCTGTCTATCCCATTTAAATATAAAACTTTAGGCTAAGGGACTGTTTCTTATTCTTCCTCAAATCCCTTTTATCTATTTCTGTACCAAGTAATAACTACTGGATGAATAAGTAAATAAATTAAAAAATTATTATAAACCACTAAGACTAATTTTCAAAGGCAGATTACATCCTTATTTTGAGTCCTACTCTGATTTATAGTCTTTTATCAGTATAGATTCTTTCAGTGGAAAAATGGAAATATTAGATAGATACATTCATACTGAAGATATGTGGTACTCAACCTGTAGTCATCAAATAAGTTCAGTAGCTTTATCCTTCAGATGCCCAGATAAAACTTACATTGTCTTAATAAGAAGCTTTCAACATCCATAGTGAATTTTTAGAATTTTCTTTAAAACCCATGCAAGATCCTTAATTTGGTTGTCTGGCAGAAAATATGTAGAATTTAGCAATTTTTGTCTGAGATTCATAAGTGAGAAATAACAACCAAATCACACCAGAGAAGAATGTTTCATATTTTTGCAGACTTCCAAAGACAGGAATTTCTTAATTTCCAAATTGAAAATCAGCTCTACATTCTAACAATTACTATGTGAAAATAAACTCCTCCATGCAATAATTCAAGACCCTTTCTTCTCACTATGTGATGATTAAAATCAACTTGTCACCATTTTAAATGTGAGGTTTCATAAATTTAAAATTATTACAACGTTTCAGTCTTCTCTCCCAGAAGAAATATTTCTGGTTATTGTTAATAACAGTAATTACCATTTATTGAATGAAGTAATAGTTTCTTTCTGTACTTTATCTGGTGTATGGCATATGACCACCCTGGGAGGTAGGGACTAATTTTTCAGAGGAAGAAGCTGAGCCAGAGGAGGAAGCATAGATTTGAATCAAGGAGCAATGACAGAATCACAACAGTTACTCTCAGTTTTTCTTTTAAATCTTGACTTTTAGCAGTTTAACTATCTCCTCTCTATGTGTTTTCATATATTCAATAAAAATGTAGTCAAATGCTTTTTATTTGTGTAATTCAGAATGAAAACGGATTCCAGATATTATCCTGAATCCTTTCAGATACGTTGTGATTAATTTTCTAAATAACCCTATTAGCAGATATTATTATTTTATACATAAGGATATAAATTACAAATTGCAAAATACATAAAATATCAAGACACTGGAGCCAGGACAAATTCTTAGAAAACATCATTTTCCCAGATTAACAGCTGTCTATTGATAACTGTCTTCTCCAGATATTGTATTCTAGGTAGGCTATTACCAATCTCTTATTTTATTTGCATGCTTTATGCTTTATGGATTAGGAACGTTTTAGTAAATTTGGCTCTAAGAAAAGTTATTGAAGAGCCAAATCCCTTTTTTCACTGTATCAATACTGGAAAGAAAAATATTCAACAGTGTAATTGCCAGCTTCTAACACACACACACAAAAAGCAGTTCCTAAATTGTAACCCTTCCCTACAAGTTTGTTTTCTTTTGCTTGGTTCAAAGAAAATATGCATTTACCCAGTCTCTGACCAGCTCTTGCAGTGGACCAGAGGAATTTCTCTCATGCCTGAGGATCTCTTGGCTCTAATAGTCACAGTTCTCAGATTTTTTGTTTTCTCCTTAAGCTTTTGTCTGTATATCAGCAGTGCCTTGTAGAACCAGATAATTGTATTATCCTACTCTGTCAGTATGTGCTAGGTTTTACTGAATCTATTCCAACCTAAACATCTCTTAACTTTCAGTTATCAAGTATCACAGAATGACTTATTGCCCTTAAAACCTGTCATTATAATTTTGTGTGTTGAAGTCACATGTAAAAGAGGGACAACTTAGTACTTTTTGATTCCTACAAATTCTCGGTAGATTCTCCTATTTGGCTTATAAACTCCTTAACCATCATTCAGTGTCTTGGAATACAGATCATCAAAACCCATAGATGTGACTGTTAAAGTCATTTAAATAATCTTTTATAAGATCTTTTCCAGTTAAATTGCCTTTCCTCCCTTCCCCTTTTCTTTCTTTCTTTCCAGACACTTCAGAGGCTCTTGAGAGGTGCCTTGCAGTAAGGCTATGAGTAGGACTTAAGAGCTCACATTGTTTGGTCTTTCATACTGAACAATATTTTATAGCCCCAGTAAAATTTTTGTCAATGTGGTTAGTTTGAAGTTAATATAATACACAGTAATTAAGTAGCTACTTTTTCTGTAACATCTCTTGTGTACGTTTCCCATCTATCTTATGAAGAGGCAGTATTTTTTAAAATATTCTTTTCTTCCTTATTACACAATTAAAATGAGCACAGCAAGAAATTATAATAATGTAGAATAAGGTAAAATGGAAAGCCAGAATTTCCCAAACCTCTTTCTACTACTCCCAGAAAATTTTATGCACAGGCAAATTTTTTTTTCTCCCCAAGTAGTTTTATACTATTTAGACTTTGTATGTCCTGTTTTTCGAAAGAAGTACAATTGATATATTTTGGAGCCTTTCAGTATCAACATATATTAGATCCACATAGCTATACTGTATTTCTTAGTATAGATCTAAAAGGATGTTGTTTAGCTGGTAAACATTTTGGTTGTTTCTAACATTTTATTTAACCTGCGGATATTTAAATTTAACATATGGATAGATATAAATATAGATATGTATATATATGGTTTTTTGCTCTTTAAACAATGCTGTAATACACATTTTTTGGCTTATGTTATATTCTTATTGGTAAGAATACATCTGTAGAATAAGTTCCTAGCAGTGGACTTAATCAGAGAACATATACTTAAAATTTTTATAGCAGCTGCCAAATTGTCCCTCAAACAGATTGTAACAGCTTATGTTTCTGTGACCAGCATTTGAAAATGACTTTTTCCCTCATAATCTTCATGAATACTGTGTTTTAATAAAGCTTTTTATTTTTTGCCAGTATCATGATTGAAAACTATCTTATTGTTTTAATTTATATTTCTTCAATTATGAATTTGGACAATTATCATGTTTGTCAATAGTTATAAACTTTTTTCTATAAATTGCCTATTCATACACCTTTTTTAAAAATTGTGGTCAGTTACAATGTGTGAATTCTGGTGTACCTATTCATACACTTTTATTCATTTTTTGTTATGCTGTATTTTTTCTTACTCATTTTAACAGCTATTTGAATATTAAGAAACTTAGCCTTCTGTGTGCAATGTGCATTACAAATATTTCCCAGTTTATTGTTCACCTTTTGAATTTACTAATGGTTTTTTAATTAGACTAGACAATTTTTCTTTTTTTTCTTTTTTTCTTGAAGTATAGTTGATATACAGTGTTGTTAGTTTCTGGTGTACAGCATAGTGATTCAGTTATACATTTTTTTATATGATTTTTCATTATAGGTTCTTACAAGCTATTGAATATAGTTCCCTATGCTCTACAGTAGGACCTTGTTTTTATTAGATTAGAAATTTTACATTTTTATGTAATCAAGCTTACTTACATTTTTCATTCATGACTTCTAGTCCTTGTTTTTCCTGATACATTTAAAATGTTTCCTTTTTTTAACATTTTAAAATTTTGCTTTAACTTTTCAGGCTTAATCTAGAAATTTTTTGTTCGCTTGTTCACAGAGTTTTGTTTCACATATTGGTTTTGGGTGTTTTTGTAAATTGACAGTGTGCCTACTCTTGTACAAAGCACTCCCTTGTAAAATCAAAGCCCCTTATCCTCAAGATCCTTAAAATCTGATTGTGGAAAATAAGGAAGTTCAAAGCCATCTGAGTCCTATAAGAATTTGGAGTAAAGTTCAGTTCAGTTTGGCCTTAGATGTTTTAGAGGCATCATAAAAGAGGTAGAATGTTACTTCATAAACTTATTTGGTAATCTCTCTTAGCCCCGTATTTTCCTGTTAATCTAAATTCATAGTTTGTTCCGTGTTGAGATTTTTGTTTACCCAGGTTAGTGTTCTACCTTCAGTACCTTATTTGGGAATATAAAGACAAGGATATGAATGTCGAAATAGAATCCACTCTGACCTAGACTTCTAAAAACTAATCTGAACTGCTGTTAATTTCTAGAATTAAGGATGAGAGGGGAACTGAGGAGGGAGGTGGGTGTGAGAAGAAGATGAAATGGAGTAGTTTCTTCTCTGAGCCTTTTATTCTTTTTTGTAACTGGCCTACATGATATGACTGAGTGGTTTGGAGAAAGGCTCGCATCCTTATTATCCTTATTCCAAGTCCCCAAGTCTGTGGAGCTTTGACATTGTCCTCGTGCTCATGTGCGTCCTACAGTTGTTGGACTATATGAATGGAAACTTTTCTTTCTTTTCAGGTGAAACCAGTGGGTATGAAAGTGATGCCGAGTATCTGCCAAAGAGTGAGTGAGTCAGTGGGGCTGCTCCCTTTCTCATGATCATCCCTGTTATAGGTGGAGTGGCGCCTGCCTTTGTGATTAAGCATGTTTTTTCTACAAGAAGTTTTACTTTGTAGGTGATTTCTTCATTATAAGAACCTGTGGCGAGTTGGGAAACGAAACACTACACTGTCAGGTGTTTGACAGCATTAAAAATCTCACATGGAATGAGACAAACCTGTATGGTTCTTAGGTTGGAATGTTCTTAGGGGCGCGGCAGAGCTGCGTGTTCAGACATCTGTGCAGTAGTTTCCCAGCAGCCAACACAGGGTATGTGAATCATCCTTGGAGACAAATACTTAGCATTAAATATCTGATTTTTCATAGTCACTCAAGTGTAACTATTTAAGTAACTTAGATATCTCTGACCTTGAGACAGGAAACACTGATCTGTTTCTTATTCATAGGCATTTATATTCTAAATTATTGTGTCATTTACCTTCTGTTAGAATATAGACTAGGCCATGCATTTCTGGCTGTATTTGTTCAAGCACTTCCTAGTGCTCTATATCCTTCATCTAATGGATTTTTACAATAAAGTGTTTAGTTTAACTAACTGACAGTGAGGCATAGAAAAAGTAGGAGATGTGAATTACCAACACTAATGACAGGACAGTTCCAGGGCTGATAGATACTCTGATCTTATGATTAATAATCATGCGCTCCTACCACTAGCCTGAACTGCCTCAGGTGTAATTCAGTAGCCTGACTGAAGGTGAAACTGAAGTCATCATCAGATTCAGCTTGGATTATAAAGATGACTAATTTAGTGCTGCTGCTATTGGGAAACAGGCCCTACAATTTTCTTGACTTGAACTGAGCCCTTTGGAGTAAATAAAGCTTTGCCTGGAGCACTGAAAGTACTGGATAATTTTGGGAAAATGCTCCAAAATTATTTTTAAGTGTTCTTAATATTTTGATCCACATGGTAAATTCTTTGGGGGCAGAATGCATCATATCTAAAAAGAAAAGCAAACAATTAGAGGATGAGTCTTCCATTCGTTGGCTCAGAATGGCACATAAGCAAATTTCTGGGATGTTTAGACTATTTCTTCTGCAAAGACTGCATATCCTCTAGTGGAGACTACCACAAATTGTTCAGAATTTAGAGATAAGTGAGAATAAAGGATAAATGCCACTGCTTTTGAGTGGTATTGCTCATACTATTGAAGTATTTTGCTTCCATAATTTCTTTCTTTTGAAAGCTAGTCTGCTAATGGTGTCTTCTTATACTTCATTTTTTTGCTCTTACATTTAGCACCATTTATTGATATAAGCATATGTCCATTATTAGTAATACATGCCAAGGAGAGAAGGGAAAAGAACAGTTTCTTTAATGTGAGGATAGTTTTTGTTTTAATTTTATCAAACGTATCCTTTTATGTACTTAACCTTTTATAGGACTCAGTCCTTTTATCAAATCTTTCCTTCCCACCTATAATTTCATGGTCCCAACAATGACATCTGGTGTCAGGCCAGTGCTATTTCCTGACATTTTCCACGTGTCCTGGTGTCAGGCCATGATAGATAGATATGTGTTGGGACATACACAGGTATCAGTTAGGACACAGAGTTATCAGTCACACTACAGGACCCCCAGGTGCATGGGAGAATCTGCACTTGTCCCCCAGGTATGTCATAGCCCTAACAAGTACGTCTGCATGGCAGGTGTTTCTTTAGTCAACATTCATTAGCATCAACTGAGTGAAGATTCCTCCTGCACGGGTCATGACCTCTGGGTGCTAGAGGGAAGATAAGGCTACGGAGAAAAACAGCGTTCCATGATCTCATTGCAGATCGCCACAAGCGCATAGCACAACTGCAGCAGTCGTCCAGGAGGAATCCTCACTACCAGACCTTGGAGCGGGATCTGATTGAATTACAGGAGCAGCAGCTGTTCGAACTTTTTGTGGTGGTGTCTCTACAGAAGAAACCATCAGAAATCAGCTACACTCCCCAGGTCATACAGCAGTTCCCTGGCAAGGTGGGTGCAAGGAGGCCATGAGGCATTCAGGAATGTTCCTATCGTCTCTGTGTATTTATTCTCTCAGTGTGTGTTTATTGTTAGTCAGCTTTTACTAATACTGTACTTCTTATAGGAAATGGTAAGTGACTCTGATGACATCTCATGTCAGACATGAGCTGCAACCAACGGGGAATAAAGCTCATTATTCAGGCTGGGTTTTTCTTTTTTACTCTGGTGTTTACTGAGTGACCTTTAGCAAGTTACAAAACCTCAATTTCATCATCCTTAGTGAGAGGAATAATAAATATGGCAGAATACGGCAGCAGTTTAGAGCATGGACTCGGAGCCAACTATCTGCATTTGCCACTAATTAGCTCTGTGACTTTGAGCAGTTACTTTACTGCTCTGTGCCTCAGCTTCTTCATTGGTGAAATGGAGGTAATCGTAATAGTGTCTATCCCACTGAGTTGTAGCAAGTTATAAGCAATAAGCAAGTTACTTGGCATCATTGGTTAGGCACCCATAAGTCTGGGAGGGAAGAGCTACCTGAGCCACTCCTGATTCTGTGTGGAAAACCTTGAATGAAGATAAAGATGATTGTGAATCATTTAACAATATAAAAATAATAGAATATGGTACAACTAAAATTTTGTTAGACTGCTTTTCCATTTCTTAAGAGCTTAATATCCAAGTGACCCAGAATGGCTGCATGTTTTGTTTTAGAAATTAAAGGATAGATCATTTGTATTAGTTACATGAAGGCAATATAGTAATTAGACTTACCTGCTTGTTTTTATGCTAATTTTTAAATGTCTTTTGGTTTAACTAAATTTAGATTATCCTTTAAAGTATAATACCAGACTTGAACAAAAGGACCTTCCATGCTAAAATTTTGTAGGAAGTTGCAAACCCATAATTAGGTAACAAAGATTGTTTGCTAAAGGAAATGATTATATATGGAGTTGATTCTAAAAATAGTATCTTTTCTAAATAACATTCATCTGCTTTTTCAAAACATCTTTGATTATTGATCAGGAAGTGTCTTGAGCTGACTAGGTTTTTGTTTTCAGTATATTATACAATAGATTTTTATAAGTCCCATGATTCATAGAAATATTCTTACTAGTATGTGAATCATGAATTAAGATTCCACCTCTAGATGAGAAACTATTTTCAACCATTTCTCTTACATCAGATTATAGGATCTCTGTAAGCATCCTTTCTATGTGAAAATAGAATTCTTTATTCTTAGAAACTCTGTTCTCAGTGCATCTTCAGTGATGACCAGTCTTGGCCTTCCTGTTTTGTTAAACAGCACAAAACCACTGTGAGATGACTACTCAGAGACCTCTTTTCCTGAGAGCAAGCTGAGTTTTTTATTTCCATTCTCAACTTAAACAGACTATTAGTCACTTATAGTGTAATTTTTTTTTCAGGGTGATCATGGCTTTAAACAATCCAGAGACACTGAAGAGAGGCTCAAAGTTATTCCAAAATTTTGTTTTCCTGATTCAAAGGACTGGATGCCAACCTCAGAACTCAAGAGGTAAATAGGCTACTTTATCTGATTTCTGTTTGTTGGGACTGCAAAAGTAGAATCAGAACATTTGAGAAATGGGTAGAGCCAGCAGTGGAGCTATGTGGACTTTGTGGCAGATCAAGGATGCAGTGGGAGGGAAGGAATAAACAGAATTAGAATATTTCCTATCTGGGGCTCAAAAAAGAAAAACACAATGTCAAAGAGAAAACAAGCTTAAGTCTCTTCAATCTGCCAATTCTGCAGAAAAACAGTTCCACTTTACATGCAATCAGAAATGCCACCAAGTGGCCAGAAAAGGAAAAAAGACTTGACCTCAGGGACTTAGAAACCGAGATAAAACATGGCATCTTGTTTCTCCTTCGAGTTGAGAGAACAAGCCATAACCCAGATTATATGTTCCCCTGTCAAACTTGTACAAAGTAGGGGCTCCCGTTTGAAAGGTGTGAGTATATGGAGAAGGGTAGTATAAAGAATTTCTTCCCAGTACCTAGAGGAAACTACCATTCTTAATTAATAAATCATCATCATCTCTGAATCCTGCTTCTAAATAGATAACTTTTGCCCAGAACTGTAATTTAGGCTGAAACGCATGATTATGTGAACCATATCACATGCCAGTGACCTTGCAGGAAGACAGACTCAGTTGTTGCCTAAGTAGCTGGGTCCTTCCACCTTTCGTTGTGTCCAGACTAAGCTGCTGTCTCTCATAACCAGTTTAGCCTGATCGCCACTCTCATCTCTGAGCCATCAATCCTGATGTTTTTGTGCTGCCAGTTGCACTGCTAACTGCACGGGCAGCTTCTGTCATATTGGCCTGGCTGCTCCATGATTGGCTTTTCCCCCGCAAAGAGTTATGTGTGTTTATTCTAGAGTATTTGGAAAATTCAGAGGAATAAGTAAAAAGCAAAAATTAGAATTCACTGACATTCTGGTTACTCAGAGATAATCTCTGTAAATGTTTTAGCAAATTCCCTTCCAGTCTTTATTCTTGGCCATATATAGACATCTGTATTTATTGTTCGAATTTGAGTTTCTTTGATTTTTAATGAATTTATTTTTTGAGCATCTTTATGTCTTCTTTTTGTAAATTATCAGTGCATATCTTTTGCCTGTGTTTCTAATGAGGAGGTGATAATTTGCCTATTAATTTTATGTATTAAGAATGTAATCCTTTGCCTGTCATTTCCATATGACCACTCAGAACCAGCTAGAAGAATTTGGAAGGGAAGAATAGCTGATCAGAATCCTTTATAGCTTACCTGTACATTTGGCCAAAGTGGACATTCAACAAAAGCAAAATAGGCTTGATGAGTAGCTAAACTGGATAAATAAGACAGTGAAAGGAGGCGGTGGCATCAGCAGCTCATTCTATACCTATTCTCTCACTCCAGTGCAAAGCAAGATATTCTCAGAGCCTGGCCATTCTCCCTCAGGAGGAATGTGACTTGGAATAAATGTCATGTTAGTGCCTCCTCTTACATCGCAGAATGACTGCTGTTGGACTCTAGTGTTTAAATTGTTTGTTGCATGAGGAGTGTCAGAAGCAGTTGCTTGGATCTCAAACTATTGACTATTTTTTCAGTGAAACGTTCTCCTTTGTCTTAACTGGAGAAGATGGGAGCCGGTGGTTTGGTTACTGTAAGAAGCTCTTGGTAAGTCCCAGACTTGTGCTCCAGGCAGGGTTGGTCCAGGAGCAATAAAGTCAGAGTAGGAACTTCAGAAACGCGATCTCTAGATGAGTTTGGGGGCTACTCAATGATCTGTGTATTAAAGAAGCTATGTTAGCTTTAAACAGTAAGAGCAAAGTGGGGGTTAGCCACAGAGTGTTCCAGAATAGAAAGCGTATGGATTTATTGTTTATTTGTTTGTCTGTAATAGACGAGGAAACACTGACGTTGTGGCTGAATATCAGTCTGGGTACATCTGAGGGATGGAGCACAGTGAGCCAGTAGAGGGAGCTCTGAGTTACTCTCTTCTTGCTTAGATGCCTTCACTAAACCGGAATAAATCATGCTATCATTTTTTAGCATTTTCCCATCTTTCAGTGTTCATTAAGGACAAGAGCCTTGGTTCCTACTCTATACTAGGGAGTATTAAGAGAGTTAATAGTCCAAATTAGGAAAGACTTGTGCTGCTTACATTTTGATTTGTTGTTGTTTTGTCTTTTAGCCAGAAGGCAAAGGAAAGCGACTCCCTGAGGTATACTGCATGGTTAGTCGCCTAGGCTGCTTCAACCTTTTTTCAAAGGTGAGTGGAGAATGGGCCCTGTGAGAAGTGGTGTTCTCTCAGAGCCCTGAGTGAGTTCTCGTTTCCGATGACTTCACTCGGCATGTTAAGTGGTGTAGGCTTAAGTTCAGATCTCTAATCCAGCTGATGTTGCCCTGTCATCATCACTTTGGTTTGCTTAACCTCCCAGATTAAAGGAGAACATCGCCTCCTCAAGGTTCACCCTGTCTCATTTCTTGCCCAGACCCCAACTGCAGAATGTCATTGTGTCACCTTTTCTGCCCCTACCTTAATGCGATGAAAGGGGGCGCCTCTTGTAAAATTAAGTTGATTTATTTTAGTAACTTTCCTTGGAGATTTAAAGATACCTCCAAGAGAAATGATGCCTTTAATGGACTTTTGTTGGTTGCAGAAGCTTATCTGTCTTAAAATCTATTTGTATTATTTTCAAGTTTGTGCACCCAGCTTGGCAGTTCCTTTAATAGGATTCTTTTATGATTTTTGAACTGAGAGCCTAATAAAATAACGTATGTTGTAAATGTAGATTCTGGATGAAGTAGAGAAGAGAAGAGAAATGTCTCCAGCCTTGGTTTACCCGTTCATGCGAAGTGTCATGGAAGCTCCTTTTCCAGCTCCTGGACGCACCATCACAGTGAAAAGCTACCTCCCTGGGGCTGGAGATGAGGTAAGTTAGTTCATTTTCCAGAGGTTTGATAGTCGCCAAAAAACAAGCCTTAACACAAATAAGCCTTACCTGATAGAAGCCTCAGGGTATAGTTTTCCCTTTTTCATAAACTACACAGAATACGTTTTGGTTGTACAAAGCACAGGAGAAATAACCAGTTGATCTGTGAGATACTTGATCCTAGACCAGGAACTAAAGGTTTGCTACTATTCCTAGACCGAGCCCCTTTGTAATGACAATTTCAGTATGATAAATGAAGATTATACACACTATTGTCAAGTGGGATAAAAGGCTTTACCAGAAATTTATAGCACAAAGATAAGGTATTCATGGTTTTGGAATTAGTATAGGCAGCTTCACAAACTCTTTGTAACAGACACTGTCTCTTAAATTTAACCTTTAAAAGAATGACAGGATCCATTAGTGTTGTAATTAGGGATTGTTTTGTCATCTCAGCTCCCCTGATTGAAATTCTTGCTTTTCAGTCCATTGAACTCTGCCGACCACTGGATTCACGATTGGAACATGTTGATTTTGATTGTCTCTTTAAGTGCCTGAGCGTGTGCCATCTCATCCGGGTCTGTGCCTCTCTCCTTTTGGAGCGGAGGGTCATCTTTGTTGCCAATAGCCTAAGGTGAGAAATAAGTAAAATAACGTCACTTCGCACTGGTATTATACTTGTTCTTACTATTTTAAAATTGGGGCATATTAAAAAACTGTAGGATCTCAATTATCTAATGCTCTAGTGACATCGATAATCCAAAAGCTATTTACAATAAGCTACAACAGTGACTTTTGGAGGTTGTTAATTTACCTTTCAAAATGCACTTTGTTAAACTGTTGCTAAAAATTTGTATTTCTTTTCTAAGTACACACTAGTTTTTAGTGATATAAATTGTGAGAAAGAGCTGGATTGAGATGAAAGATTTTCAGTACATTAAGTTAAAAATTTAAATGTTAAAAGTGAATGAGTAATCACAGAATTGTTCATCTGTGATCAGTAACTGGCATCAATCTGTAATTCTGTAACATAGTGTCTGAAATGCCCTCCACGTGTTTTCTGTATGTGACACCATTTGCTTTCTCCTCTGGCTAGCACCCTGTCAAAATGTGGCCATGCTGTGGTTGCCACACTGTATCCATTCACCTGGCAGCATACCTACATCCCAGTCCTGCCAGCATCTATGATCGACATTGTGTGCTCACCTACTCCGTTCCTTATTGGAATCCTGTCTTGCTCCTTACCGCAGCTCTGGGACCTACCCATTGAAGAGGTGAGATAGGGGAAACCAGTACCTGTGGGAAAGATTGGAGCACTGAGAAATGAAAACAAGTGATCTGTAAGAATGATGGATATGTCAGTAATTAACAATAATATTTAATTATTATTATTAATATATTATGCTATCATATTTTTGTATGAGAAAAATTCTGTACTTCATTTGAATCCAAAGTGGTATCTCACAGTATTGAACCATGGGCTAATTCTTGTGTTATTCTAAAGGGTAGGTCTTTTTTAAAATCACACACAAAAATTACTCTGGGTTAATTTAAAATTTTTTCAAATATAACATACATATAGGTAAGTGCCAAAAACAAACTGCAGCTCAGTGAATTGTCACAAAATGCATGCTTATGTAACCAACATTGGAATAGAATGGAATACAACAGTGGAAACAGAAGTCCTCTGCATGCCTTCTTCTAATCACTGTTCCCTTCCCCACCCCCTACAAAAGGAAACCACTATCTTGACTTTTATGGTGCTCACTTTCTTATTTTTCTTTATAGTTTTACGTCCTAGGCATGTATCCCTAAATAATGTAGTTCAGTTTTGTCTGGTTTTAAGATTGATATAGACTCATACAGTACTTATATATTTTTGTCTTTTTTTTTTTGGCTTCTTTTGAGCAGCATTAAATCTATAAGATTCATCCATATTGATGAGTTTAACAGTAGTTTGATCATTCTAATTGTGTATAGTTTTCTTACTCATTCTACAGTTGATGGACATTTGAGTGGTTTCCAGTTTGGGGTTATTATGAATAATGCTGCTATAAATATTGTTATACATGACCCTTGGTACATATGTTCATGCAGTTTTATGGGTATACACTTGGAAATGGAATAGCTGGGTCATAAGCTAAATGTATCTTCAACTTTAGTAAGTAAAGTCAAGCTTTTCCAAAGTAGTGGTGCTAAGTTAAGCATATGAGAGTTCCTGTTGCTCCACATTCTCGTCAGCACTTGTCACCATCAGTTCGTGTGATTTAGCCTGTCAGGTAAATGTGTATTTGCTTTGTCATTGTGGTTTAATTGGCATTCCTTGATTATGGTTGAGGGTGAGCATCTTTCTTTATGTTCACTGGCCATTTGGTTATCATCTTTTATAAAATGTATTGTCTGTCCTTCTATTGAATTGTTTACCTTTATTGATTTGTAAGAAACATTTTTATAGTCTGGATGCCAAGCCCTTTTGTGGCTTGCTTTTCCATTCTCCAAAATGTTTTTTTTTTAATACACAAATGTTCTTAATTGTAATGAGGGTCAGAATTATCAGTGTTTGGTTAGTATTTGTGTGTGTGTGTGTGTGTGTGTGCTGCTTAAATTTTTCTTTATATTAACTTTACAGATATATATATATATACACACACACACACACACACCACATCTTTACCTGTTCATCCATTGATGGGCACTTAGGTTGTTTCCATATCATGGCTGTTGTTAATAATGCTGCATTGAACATAGGTGTGCAGATATCACTTTAAGATAGTGATTTTGTTTCCCGTGGATATATGCCCAGAAGTGGGATTGCTGAATCATATGCTAGTTGTATTTTTAATTTTTTGAGGAACCTCTTTACTGTTTTCCATAGTGGCTGAACCCAATTTACATGCTCATCAACAGTGCACAATAGTTCCCTCTTCTCTACATTCTTGCCAGTATTTTTTATCTCTTGTCTTTTGATAATAGCTGTTCTAACAGGTGATATCTTATTATGATTTTGATTTGTATTTCCTTGATGCTGAGCACCTTTTCATGTGCCTGTTGGCCAGTTGTAAGTCTTCTATGGAGAAATGTCTATTCAGTTCCTCTGCTTATTTTTTAATCAGACTGTTTGTTTGTTTTGCTTTTGAGTTGCATGAGTTCTTTATATATTTGGTGTATCAACCCCTTATCCAATATATGAATTACAAATATTTTCTCCCATTCTGTAGGTTTCCTGTATAAAATCATTACCAAGACTAAAGTAAAGATGCCACCTCCTATGTTTTCTTCTGGGAGTTTTATGATTTCAGTTCTTAAACTGTTAATCCATTTTCAGTTGATTTTTGTATATGGTGTAAGATAGGGATCCAGTTTCATTTTTGGCATTTTCATTTGGCTGTCCAATTTTCTTAGCACCATTTATTGAAGAGACTGTCCTTTCCCCATTGTATATTTTTGGCTCCTTTGTCAAAAATTGACTATATGTGGGTTTGTTTCTGGACTCTCTGTTCTGGTCCATTGATCTGTGTGTCTGTTTTTTATGCCAGTACCATACTCTTTTGATCACCATAGCTTTGTAACATAGTATGAAATCATGAAATGTGTTGGCCTCCAGCTTTGTACTTCTTTCTCAAGATTTATGTGGGTGTTTGGGCTCTTTTGTGGTTCCATAGAAATTTTAGGATTGTTCTATTTCTGTGAAAAATGCCGCTGGAATTTTGATAGGGATTGTATTGAATCTATAGATTGCTTTGGGTAGTTTAGACATTTAAACAATATTAATTCTTCTAATCCATGAACATGGAATATATTTCCATTTATTTGTATATTGTTCAGTTTCTTTCATTAGTGTCATAGTTTTTCAGGATGGATATCTTTTACCTACTTATTTAAATTTATTCCTAGGTATTTTATTCTTTTTGATGCATTTGAAAGTGGGATTGCTTTCTTAATTTTTTTTAGACACTTCATTGTTGGTGTACAGAAACAACTTATTTTTGTAGTAACCTTTTTTTTTTTACTTAATATTATAAAAATTCCTAAACATGTAAAAATAAACAAAAGAGTAAAATAAATCCAATCATCCTACTTCAATACTTCTAAAGTTTGAGCAGGCCAATCTTCACTTTTACCTCTCTCTCATAGTATTTTGAAGCATATCCTGACATAATTTCATGTCTAAATATTGTAATATGAATCCCTATAATATAAGGGCATTTTTAATATAATTGCAATACCATTATCACACCTAAACAACTCCTTAATATCAGCAAAAGTCAGTATGCAGATCTCTAATTATTTCATAAGTTCTTAATAGTTTTAATTAGGTCCCAGATAAAGTCCATGCATTGAATTTGGTTGGTATGTTTTTTAGTCTCTTTTAATCTAGGTGTGCCCGCCATCATTTTTTTTTTCACTTGCAATTATTTTTCTTACTCACATTGATGAGTTAACTTTTAAATGGGCTGAAACTTTAAGTTAACATATAAAAATGTTGAATCACTATGTTATATAACTGAAATTAATATACTTCAATTTTTTAAAAAAGAAATAAACCAAAAAAACTTCAATTTTGTTTAAAACTAATCCATGAAAGAATCAAAACACTGTTTCTGATCTAGCAGTGCCTAATGTGTTTCTCTGTGAATATCTCTGGTTTAACTTGCCTGGCTCCTTTATTCCATAGGTGCTGATAGTCGATCTCTGTGCAGACAAGTTTTTACAGGAGGTAAGTGACAAAAGAGGTGGTTACATAATGTTTAGGGATAATTGGCCAGAAAATATGTGAAAGTACTTAGAGAAGATGACTCAGGCGAGACTTTTAGTCCCTACACATACTTTACTTGACACTATGGCCAATCATACAAGATGGACCTGAAATTTTTGGCTTGAGTGTATACCTGTCTATCCCAAAGAAGGAAGGAGGAAACAGACTGAACATCATTCTCAAAACAGGTAACCCTCCCTTCAAGTCTAGATGGGTTGATGTATAAGCCTCTAACTTAATTATATTTAACAAGCGTTCAGCACCAATTATTTCTAGATATTCTGTTAGTCAGTCAGAAACTTAAGGTGAGTAAGACAGTTTGAGCCCAAAGGCCTTATAGTTTAACAGGGATGGGGAGCAGATATATCCATAAGTGGTATATATCTTAAATATATCCATGGTATATATCTTAGAAGTGGTATAATAGAAATTTATACAAGATACGGTAGGGGCAGAAAAGAAGCTGTCACTTATTCTGTGTTTTGTGGACAAGTGCCAGAAAATTTTAACATTGTTTAGTTTATTGAATACAATATTAAATCCTTTACATTTGGTGAACTGCACATAGCAGAAGCTCCAGCCTGGCCTTCGTGGACTCCTGTGCTCTTGCCAGTACCACCTTGACCCCAGTTATCTAGGCATGAAAGGGTGCAGACAGCACGGACTTCCTTCGCCTCGCCAGCTAGTCACTAGGTTCTGTCACCACTTCCCTCTCTCCATCCATCCTACTTCAAATGCAGCTTTCCTGCCACCTAAGCTCATCTCTCCACCTGTCTGAGTGATGGAAACCATGGCCATCTTTAGTGAGCAAAGCTCACAAAAGCAAAAAATTGTTAATTTTTTTAAAATATAGTTAAGATATATATACCATAAACATCATGGATTTTGCCTGATGTGGGAAAGGAAGCTTCAGATTGACTCAGAATTTATGCAAAGCCACTTGTGGAATTTTGGGGACTTAACTAGTGCATATTTGGGACTTTCTGTCTCAAAGCTCATGAAAGTTTCAATTTCTTCTCTTCAGGTATCTGATGAGGATGAAATTCTACCACCTAAACTTCAAGCTGCCTTGATGCAGATTTTGGAAGAACGAGATGAAATCTTGGCTCAGGAGCAGAATTGTTCACGAGGTATGAGACAAGAGGTCTGTGGATTTAAGGTTAAGGTAGTAAATATTTACTAAATGTCCAGCACCCTGCCAAAGCATATACACAAGTAGTATGAAATTGCCCGTGCCTTGACAGGCTTATCATCAGCTTCCCTGATCACCCTCAGATGTGCCAAGTCCCCTTCTATTTCAGGACTTGTGCACTTGCTCAGTTCATTTATGAAATACTGTTCCCCAGATATCCACATGGCTCCTGGTCTTTGTTCTTGCAAATCCATGTTCAAATGTCACTTTCTCAGTGAGGCTTTCTTTCCTGACTGTCCTGATTAAAATTGTCCCCATTCCCTTAGCACTTCCTGTCCTCCTCCCTGACCTTATTTTCCCCCATGGCTTTTATCACTATCTGGTGTGCTAGGCAATTCCATGAGAGCAGTGACTGTCTTATTTCCTATCTCCAATACTTTAAACATCATTCAATAAATAGTATTCAGTGAGTATTTGTTGAATAAGTGGATGAATAATATTTATTGGGTGGCTTACTCTGTACCAGGCATTGTCTTAAACACTTAGCATACATCTTATTTCATCCTTGTGATATGTTTATGAAGCAGGTATTGTTATTTAATCCCCATTTTACAGATGAGTACACTAAGGCTATTTACTCATGAGAAAGCATTAGGGAAGGAGCGGAATTAGAGGAGTAATTAAAATTTCAGTTTTGGATATTAAGTTTGAGAAACCTATTAGATGTTTGGTACCTAGAAGACATTTAACTGGAGATGTCAAGTAGGCGTTTATATGCATGAATTTGGTGTTGAGAGGAGAGATTTGGGCTAGAGACATACATTTAAAAGTTGCTTTTTTAAATTTGTGGGAACAGAGAGAGAACTCTATAGAGTGAGTAGAGATAGAAAATTTAGAAGATTTAAGGATTGAGCCCTGGGTTGGGAGTAGTGTGTTTAGATTTCCAACTTCTGGAAGTTGGGAAGAGGAGAAGGATCCAGGAAAGGGGACTAAGAGAAGCAGCAAGTGAAGTGGGTGAAAAACCAGGAGTGTAGTATTGTGAAAGGTCAGTGAAGAAAGTATTTCGTGAAGAAAGTATTTCATAAAGAAAAGAATAAATGGTTATGTTTAATGCTGCAAAGAGGTCAAGTAAGTTGAAGACTAAGAATTGACCAGTGTATTTGACAATGGGAAGGGCTCTGGAGACCTTGGTAACAGCAGATTCAGCAAAATGATTGGAAGAAGGCAAAACTGGGGAAGGTTCAAGAGAGAATTAGAATGACATTCAGCTTTTTGTAAAATTTTAATGGAAGTGCAAAAGGCCAGAATAGTTAAGACACTGCTGAAAAAGAACAAGGTTGAAGGACTTGCCATACAAAATATTAAGATTAACTGTAAAATCATAGTAATTAAGATCATTTGGTTCCAGTACAGAAATAAACAAATGGAGTGATGAAAGTGGAAAGAATACAGAATACACGTGCATAAGGAAACCTGATTTATGTCAGAACCAGCACTGCACGTCAGTGGGAAAAGAATGAACCATTCAATAAACAATTCTAGGGCAACTGGTTTTCCATAGGAAAAGAAATGAATGTGGATCTATACCTCATCTTATACATAGAATTAGCTCAAATGAATTAAAGACTTAAATGTTAAAACTAAAACATTTAAAATGTCTAGAAAAGAACAGAAGAAAATATTTTATGTTTTGGGACAGTAAAGGATTTATTTTTATTTTTTTTTAATCAAAACTATTTAGCTTTTGACTTTTCAAATTTATTTATGTGTTTATTTTTATTTTGTTTTTCTGGAGGGGAAGGTAATTAGGTTTGTTTATTTTAATGGAGGTACTGGGGCTTGAACCTGGGACCTCGTGCACGCTAAACATGCCCTCTACCACTGAGCTATATCCTCCCCTCCTGGATTTCTTAAATGTGGTTCAAAGAGCACAAACCATAATGAATAAGACTGATTAATTTGACTATGTTAAGTTTTTGAAATTTCTGTTCATCAAGGGACACCATGGAAAAGGAATTAAAAAACCAGGTACAAACTAGATGAAGACATTCTTAATAAATAGAACTAACAAAGGAATAGTATCTAGAATTTAGTTTTAAAAATTACTATAATTCAAAACTAGAAAGATGAATAACCCAGTAGAAAAACTGGGGAAGATATGAACACTCATTTTATAGAAGAGGAAATATGAAAGGCCAATAAATATATGAAGAGATGTACAACCCAGTCAAAATCAGGGAAATGTAAATTAAAACCACAGTGAGATATCATTTTATACTCACCATATTGGCAAAACTTTTTAAGCCTGACAGTATCAAGTGTTGGTAAGAATGTGTAAATTAGTTCAGCCCCTTTGGAAAAATAATTTGGCACCATCTAGTTGAGTTAAAGGTGTACATATCCCACAACCCAACAAGTCCATTTTTAGATACATACCCGAGAAACTCTTGGACATGATAACTAGGAAAGAAGTACGATAATTTTTGTAGTAGTACTGTATGTGATAACAAAAATGAAAAACAACCTAAACATTCATTGATAGGAGAATATAGCATTAAAAAAAGAATCCGAAAGACACACATTGAATAAAACAGTAAGTTGCAGGAGAATCTAATGTTCAAAGATGGACAAAACCTAACAATATGTTGTTGGGGTTGCATGTGCATAGCAAAACTATAATGTAAAGCAAATGATATACACAAAATTCCAAATAATGGTCACCCTCTATTGAAAAGTAGGGGAAGAACACCACGGAGAGGGCATCACACAAGGAACTTTGGAAATACACATGATGTTCTGTTTTAAGCTTTATGGTAGGCACTTGTGTGGTCATTTCACTGCTGACCTGGTGAATATCCATACATGTAAAGGAATATGTAAAGTAAATACATTAAAATGGAAACAAAGATTGTAGTCAGAGACTCAGCAGCAATGTACAATTTTGAAATAAAGTCTTTCCTTCTCTCCATCTCTCTCAAAAAAAAAAATAAACGGAAACAAAGAATGGAAGATAAATTATAGGAAAACATAATTTTTAAAAGAAAGGGAATTAGATGTAAGAAAATGGGTACAACAGTTATAAACAACTCTTTCAAGAAACTTTTTGCTGCTAAATCGAGGTGAATGGGACAGTAACTGGAGGGGGTGGGAGACTGGGGCAGAAGTGTTGACGATAAAAGCAGTGATGGACCATGGATTATCAGCTGCAGAAGGGAAGAGATGAGAAGGAAGTCTGTTGAACAAAATATTTTAAAAAATCTGAATTGGAATGAAAATGTAACGTTGGAAGGGACCTTAGAAAGCCACCTCATTACACAGATATGGAAAGAGAGGCCACAAGAGGTAAAGCAAGTTGCCCGCTATTATATAGCTGCTGCATGGTAGAAATCTGTTTAAACGGAGGTCCCAGATTCCCAGTCAGCCCATGAGAAAGAGCAAGAGCCATTGTGAAGGGAAAAAAAATACTATTTGGATATGGAAGGAAAAGGACAAGTCTAAGTTGAACCTGAGGTTTGAGCCTAGAACCTGGAAGGCAACATACTGTTGTATATTATAGTGGTTAAGAATCACCTGACTTGGGAATCCTGCAGCTTCTCCACTGCACTAGATGAGATGACCCTGGAGAATGTCTTTGATTTGAGCCTCAGTTCCTCTGCTGGAAAAGGGAAATAATATACCTACCTCACTGGATTATTATGTTTGTTAAAGCACTTAATTCAGTGCCTGACATAGCTAAAGCACTCTAATTATTATTTATTACGGAATAATCATGGTGGAATATGAAATAGGAAAGTTGAGAGAGAACCTGATTTGGTGAGAAATATAATGAATTAGGTTTTTGACACGTGTTGTTTATTTATTTGATTCATAGTTACCAATTTCCCAAAAGGACCTGAGGTATGGTGACATTTAGACAAAACAGAATTTAAGTGCTAATGGGACAGCCAAATGATGCCCACACATAGGTAGCCTGAAGATGTAGAAAGTGGATTTTGGTGGAATATCAGGGCTGGAGATCTGAGGTTGAGAATTACCAATACAAAGCCAGCTCACTATGCCAGTTAGCCATTTAAAGAAGGGAATATTGAAGAGAAGGGGTCTGAAGACCATGCTCAGGAAGAGGAAGAAGAGGCAACACAAAACAAATGTTTGGTCATAAAGGCAAGACAGAATCAGGACATCAGGAGAGCATAAAGTTGTGGGACACATGAGGAATGAGGAGGAGGTTAGCACAAAAGCAGCATATAGTTTAAAGGAGATAAAAATAAGAGCAGATTAAACTGCGCTAGTTCTCACTGGTGTCCTTTGAAAAAGCAGTTACAGTGAATTCACAGATGTGCAAGGCAGAGTATGTGGAGGAAGAAAATGAAGGTAAGGATACAAGCCGTTTGCTTTTTGCAGGTCATGAAGAGTGCGAGAAAGCTAAGAATGAGAATCCCTATGCTTATTCCCTGTCGCGTAATCTGTGATTTCCTGGGTGTCACTTTCATAACCAGAGCCAGTGTCCCTATAAACACAAAACTTAGGGGATTTTTTTCTTTTTTTTCTTTCATTTTGCAGTAGATGTGACACTCAACTCTCTGGTGTCCGAAGCATTTGTCAGGTTTTTTGTGGAGCTGGTAGGACATTATTCTTTGAGCATGACTGTCACTGAGCGTGGGGAGCGTGTATTCCAAAGGGAGCCATTCCGTAAATCCCACACCTCCCGTAGTGTGCGGCACTTCCTGGACCTCTTCATGGAAACTCAGATGTTTGCAGGGTTCGTCCAGGACCGAGAGCTTCGAAAAAGTGGAGTGAAAGGTCAGTTTTATCATAAAGTTCTCCCTCTGTATTTAGTGAGCACTTGAAAGATTTGGCAATAAATATAAACAAAATCAGCAGAAAGCTACAAGGGCTCAAAATCTAAGTTGTTTATTATGTGAAATATTCATTTTGTAATATTGTTTTGGTATGGAAGTACATTTGTAGTGAGATCAGAGTTTTATTTAATTGATTTTCAGTCTTGAATATATGACAGTTTCACCAACCTGAGTTTTCCTTGTAGGTTTGTTTGAGGTCCGGGCCCTCCAGTATTTGGAAACAATTCCTGAGCCTGAGCCCAGTGGGGTGAACAGAATTTTGCGGAGCCTTGGTGAGTTGCTGTGTCTTCATTTTAGTTAAAAAACACTTTTGCAGTAAGCATGCCTCATCACAAAAGCTTTACAATCAGATCAACAGTGTAACCTCAAGTAGGGGGACCAGAAACCATGACCCTAGTTCCAAAGTGTTTTGGATAGAAAGAAGTCTCTCTCAAAGGTTAGAATTCTCCATCAGAGTCGTCCATGGGGCTGTTTGCCTCAGATGAAACTCCCTTATGATATAAGAATTTTGCGTCTCATGATTATTAATCTTTTCTAGGCCTCATCCCTGGAAGAATCTTATAAAAACTGGACCTTTTCCCAGAAAAATATGCTTAAAGCATAGAAACAAATTTTGCACATAATTTTAGGGTGTTCATCACCCCACTGAAGCCCATCCATGCACTCCAGATTAAAAATAACTGGTTTAGAGGGCATCTGAGGCAAAAGAGGATTACCTATAAGTCTCTAATTTTATATTTCTTAAGGAAACACAGTTGTTTATGTTTTTCAATTATAGTAAACTTTTAATTATCCAGTATGATAAGGGAGAACAGTGGCATGATAGCCCAAAACAATGAAGAAACGATATTCTGTGGTATTTATATTGATCTTTGAAATATATGCCCCTAATTAAAATTAGCCCATATCCTTAACTAGCTGAGAGACCATGGACAAATTATACCTTGGGCTGTTATTTTATCTTTATACCATGGTGTTAGATTAGATTAGTGGTTCTCAGCTCTGACTGCAATATTATAATCCCTGGGAAGCTTAAATGAAAATCCATACCTCCTCAGCCCCCCTACCCAGACCACACCGGGCTCCAAGAAATCGCTAGGAAGCAGGATAAGTGATTTTAACCTACAGACAGGATTGAAAACCACAGGATTAGATGATGTATGAGTTCTCTTCTGCCTCTGCAATTAGACATCTGGGGTTTCATGTGTGTGTTCTGTTTTGTTTTGTTTGGTGGTTAAACACATCAACTGATAGCTTGAGATGGCAGCTTACTCCTGGGCTGTTCTGAATGACTGGGTTGTTAATCCCTTGCCTCAAATAATGTACAATAAATAAAATGGACTAATGAGTTCATTCTACTTTTTTTTACGTTTAGGAAGTAAGATGAAATTTCTACAGAAGAAATGAAATATTTGATCGACTGCCTTCATCTCAAAAAGAAGAAAAAGTGCCAAAGAAACTTTTTCCAAGAGTCAGGATGCCCTCAAGTATTCCACAAAATCTTGAAAGTTGAAAGGTTACAGAGTGGGTCAGGTTCTTGGAGGAGGATTCTCCTGTTGCTGCTGTAGTAATCACTGGAGAATTGTTGGGAGTAGTCTGGAACCAATGCTCTCTTTACTCTGCTTCCAGATTCTTTTTTAAGCGGCCTTTTCTTTTTGATTCTTGGGCTCATTCTTTGTGTTTTGTGCTTAGTTTATGAAGGCACTGATCTTTTACAAGAGAAAGACTTAGTATTGCATTTAAAAAAATACAGCTCAAAGATGAGCACAGTGAGAAAAGTGCTGCGTTTAAGGTACTAGGGAGGCATGAAAGAAGTAGGAAACACTATCCCTTCACACAAAATTCTCATCACTGAAATACCACGGCAGCTTTAAACCTATGGACTGTTCAAACTGAGCTAAGGAATATACTCATCATATAGCTTTGTTTTTGTTTTTGTTTTTGTTTTTTTGGGTCTAGTGTTCTGTCTAGGGGAATCTCACTTCTGTGGAAGCCCTACTGATTAGCACTGTTATTGAGTAACTTATAAAAGTAGACAGATTGCAGCTCCTCCACATTGTGTGGCACTGGGTAACTTGTCCCTCACATGTCAACATTAAACTTTGTGGAATAGCTAATAGGAAAATGTCCTTTAAGGGCATGAGAACTACCTTCTTTTTTAGTGTCCACTATGTGCCATGAATGGTACATATGTTTATGTCATCTTACTCAGTCTTTAAATCAAGTTTATGAGATATTTGCTTCTCCATTTTACTAATGAGGAAAATGGAATTCAAAGAGGTTAAATAACTTGCCCAACTGAAGGCAGGACTGTTAGTTCATGAACACAGAGAAAGTTGGTTATTCCTATAGATAGCAGTTTGAACTCTGTAGGATTATAGCTATTGAAAACTTTTTTTTAAAGTTTTAAGTGTACGAGAGCCGACCTTCAGTTGAGGATAAGGGACTTCAAACTATAGGTGTCTAGGTGAGACTTTTTTTGGTTCCCTTAGAAATGTTGGACTTTTTGCTGTAATTAAGTTGAACTCAGAATATGGACATTTCCTGGGCACACACCACACAATCACCACAACCCTTCATATCTAAAGTAGTAGTAGTGATTAAAAAGAGGTATTTGTCAGCAGTGGTGTAATTTTCATTGATAAATGTTATAGCAAGTGTCAGTTTTTCTACTCCTGCTGATGGTTTTAACTGGCATTAAAAAAATTTATTCAAACTTAAAGCTTTGTAAGTTGTATTATGATACAACTTATTAACTTATGCAGTATTGTCATCACAGCTCATTCAGGTGTGCATGAATGAATCTGAACCATCTAAGATGGGTGTGGTATAATGTAATTTCTATAGATGGGGTCCAGAAAGTAGAACTGAGCCTATGTGTTTAAAAAAAGAAAAATGTTTATTAAGCAGCCTCCCCAAGTGGGGCTCTTACCAGATATCTCCCCATTTGGTTTCTTCTGACACTCCAACCCTGACGGAATAATTAGTAACTGGGAAGTCGAGTGTTTATAAAATGGGGGTAGAAGGTGTTATTTTGGTGGATCCCCAGCATTCCTTTGTCAAGAGACCTTTGCTTCAGCGGTGGGGGCCTTATTTTATCCCTACAATCTGAAGCTGCTTCCTTAAGTCTGTTTTATTTTGTTTTTAAAGTGAAGTATTACAAAATCTGGACATGTTTGTAAAATAATTGCTCAAGATTTGTATAAAATGTTGTTCACAGATCTTTTCATGAATAAACACAAAAAATTCCATGGAGCTCTTGGAGAAGTTAAATAAAATTGCTTAAGATGTAAAGATCTTTTATTTCACGTAAATCTATAGCTAGCACGTATCTAACAGTAGGTTAAAAGATAATCGACCCTAGACTAACCAAGCTTAGTAACCATGGCCAGCATTTCCAGACAAAGCCTAGATTTGCCCACCGGGCATGGTATATAGTCCTACTACCTTATCTGGTCTCTCCCTACTTTGTCAAAGGGAGCTGGAAGCCGGCGACCAGAGACACTGCAGCGGCAGTGATAGCAGAAGTGATTGGAGGCAAGGAAGAGAGCTGGTCTACTCCTGAAGTACTAAAGGCAAATGATTGGGTTTTATACATGCCCTGAAGGCAAAACGACAGTATTTGTAAAATATGGGGTTAGTGGACAGTTACCAGTTTCGCCCGGCGGGGAAATAAGGTTCTTTTTGTTATGCAGATTCTAAACTTCTCCAATTTTTGTTTTGTTTTTGGGGGTGTGGGTAATAATTCTTCCTAATTTTAACTGGAGCCTGGCGTCCACTCGTAGAGCCTGTGAAAAAACTGCACTTAACTCAATACAAAGATTCTCAGGGCGACGAGAACGAAGACGAGTGGGGATACATGCAAGGAAGTGCAAAGCGAGAGAAGTTTAAGGGAAGAAAGTGGAAGGTTGGGGGAGTAAAGCCGAGGTGGGAAACTTGTGTCTTTCTCCCCGCCAAATCCTGCAGCCAGTTCCCTCCGAAAGGATTCCCTCCAAGATACCAGCGTCCTAGAGGAGATGAAAGTCCTAGCTCCTCTCCAAATTGCTGCCAGTCGGAGGCAAAAAGTGGAGCAAACAAGGACAGGAAATTGAGACGTTCCGCTGACTCCGGGAAACCACGACGTGACGTCACGTCCGACCAAAACAAAATGGCCGCGCAATTCCTAGCCGGGCGAGCACGCCCTCAGAATTAACAACTGAGCATGCGCCAAAGCTAATACGCAGGCGACGTGATCACGTTAATGTCAGGCGCAGGCCTATTTAAGTGAGCCTGAGCTTGCGCAGACTCAGAAGACGCAGGCGAACCTGAGAATGGCGGGCACGGGTTTGGTGGCTGGAGAGGTTGTGGTGGATGCGCTGCCGTATTTTGACCAGGGTTATGAAGCGCCTGGTGTTCGAGAAGCGGTGAGTTCAGGGTGTTCGTGTAACTGACTCAGCGCGCGCTAGTCCTTAGTGCTGGAAGAACGGCCTTAAAATTTGCTCCCCCGTCCCTGGCCCCTCTGGTCTCGTTTTCAGGCTGCGGCGCTGGTGGAGGAGGAAACTCGCAGATACCGACCTACTAAGAACTACCTGAGCTACCTGACAGCCCCAGATTATTCCGCTTTCGAAGTAAGTGTGATGTTTTGAGCCCAGCGTGTGAACCAGGATCCTGTGAATCTTTGTTTTGGATTGAGAGCCTTAGCCACGTACATGTAAATTTTAAATTTCAGCTTTAACTGTTGCTTGCTTAGCTACTACTTACGTGTTGTATGGGTATTGTCGGTCAATTGCAAATAGCTACATAGATAGCCTTCTCCAGGGTTCTTATTCTGAGACCCACAGAGGACTTTCTGGGACCCTTCGAACTAATAACAATACGAAAATTAGTGTTAACCTGTTTCCGAGATAGGTTCATCGCGAAAATTCTCAAATGGATCCTCCTCTCTCTAAGGTCTATTGTGAAACAAGTGATATCGGCTTTTTTAGTATGTATAAGCCTAATTAACTAAGCTTGTGAGAACCACTGGAGGGCGGCCTTTGTATCAAAGCCTAAATATTTACTGAATGTTTGTGAGTGACTGAGGGACAAACCATAACCTAAGTAATAAATACTATTTAAATATTTAGCCTAGAATGCACACAAAGTACTACTTAAGGTCTAATCAGCGAAATGAAATGTAAAATGTTATTTCTAAATTAGCGGATTGTTTTAGGCATTTTAGTACGTACATGTTCCGGTTTCTTCCCCGTTACAGGTAACCATTTATCTATGAAAGAATTCTGTTATTCAAACGCAGTATTTCTGCGGAAATAACATGAAAAAAAAATTGGTTAAGTTTTAAAGTAGGAGGGAGATGTTTCTATGCTATGCTGTTTTCCTATGCTTTTTCTAAATGTTATTACCCAAATATAGATATTACCACATTAAGAGCTAAGTACAGTAATGAGTCCTTATTAGCTTGATTTCTGGAAGTTTCAGATAACAGCATTCAGCCACAAACTTTTAAATACTTGAACCAGTTTTCTTTTTAGCTTTCTTAAATACAACCTATGCTTCCTATCTTTATCATTAGAATACTGATTTTTTAACCTCTTAATAGTAGGAGCTAATGGTGTACTGGGCTGGCTATCTCTGTCATATGAACCCTATGACATATGACATATATGCCCTATGAGCTATATAACTGTATGTTTATTAGCCCAATTTTTCAGATGGGAAAACTGCAGCTTAGAGAGGCTAACTGTTTTGCCCAAGACCTTAGCTGCTCTTCAAACTGTCTTTGAAACTGCCTTTCCATTAATTCACTTAACTGTTACTGATGATCGATTCGATTTGGGTTATTTGGCAACAGATAGGCAGGTTCATACTCAACAGAGCTTACATTGTAGAGTGTGGAGACAGACAAATCAGAAAGTACCAGATTATCAAACTATACAGAGAATTCAAGTAGTAATGTGATATAGAGTGACTGGGTGACTCCTTTAGATGGGATGATTGAGGAAGACCTATGGAAGCAAAGATGCAGATGCTCCATGAGCAGGAATCTTTTTTGTCTCTTTCACCGCTGTTCATCTTAAAGCAGTATCTGGCACACAATAGGCACCCATCTATTTGAATAGATAGTTTCAAATTTATCATCTAAATGTATGAAGAGCTTCTAAAGCAGTTTTGTGTAATGAATGCTTACTCTGCCATTCATATGACTTAGCCCTGTGAGAGCTGGCTCAGTCTTTGGAGAGTTAAAATTCCAGATCTATCACTTACTTGCCATATGAGTTAGGTAAGGGCTCTGATGTTACATGGTTCAAGATTGCTTGTACTGTATTTTTATAGTTTCTCTCTTATCTAATTGTTAGTTGTTACAGTTCATCTGTCACTGTGCGTAGCCTTCTAGCTAAAATGCCTCAGTTTTCTGCAGGAAATTAAATGACCATATTTTCTTAGAGCTGTGTGTAACTCAGCAAAAAAAAAAAACAAAAAAGAAGTGCTTAATGCAAAACTTTGAAACATGGAATGTGGGCTTCTGGAAGGCCTTTTTTGCTTATTCTTTCATCTAAATGGAATAGGATATTGACCAAAACATCGGACCTAAAGGGATGGAGCTATACCACATTTTTATGAAAATAGAAAAATTGTTAGAGCAGAAAGCAGAACTAGTTCCTTTTGTTCCTTCCCCTATTTTCCATTCTTTGTGAAGAGTAAAGTGTGAAAAGAGCAACCGAGACCAAAAAGAAAGCATAGGTTCAGGCTCATAGCTCTTAAGAAAATTATTTTATGTCCAAGTCCTCGCCTCACTTTCCCCCAGTGAGTACCTAGCTCCGTGGTTCTCAGCACTGGCTTCATTTTACAATCAACTGGTGAGTTAAAAACAAAAGTTATAATCATCTCCACCGCATGGGCTTAGGGGAGAGGGGTGAGATGTGGCTGGTATTGGACTTGTTTTTGAAGCTCCCATCTGATTCTAAATGTGTTGCTGGGACTGAGAACCACTGATTTAGGTTTAATCCTTTTCTCTGTGGGCTCCTTTACATATGAAGGGTGTGTGTGCCTGTGCCTTCTCCAGATTCTAGAGAGCATTTAACTCAGAGAAGACTTGGAAGGGAAATGATCCATCATAATGGATAATAATAAAGTATAAATTCTTAAGTAGGTTAGAGTATTTGTTTGGTGGTTATTAATTTCAGTATGTTGATATGATTTTGGAAATAATTTTTCCTCTAACTTATTCATTAGACTGACATAATGAGAAATGAATTTGAAAGATTGGCTGCCCGACAACCAATTGAATTGCTCAGTATGAAACGGTAAGTCCTTTCTGGGCTCAGCTGGGCTCAAATCATTGTTAACTTTCATTTTAATTTATTAGTAAAATTGCTGTAGTCGTGTTAAAATGAATGTGGAAAAGAAAAAATTAGTGCTACATATTTATGTTTTTTCATATAATAGTGGCTCATTTAATCCTGTGTTAATGTTCACAAGTATTCTTTGCACCAAAAATGCAGAATATTTTAAAATCCAACAACAGGGGGATGGTAAATTGTAATGAAGTTCAGGTTTAAGAATTCCCAAGGAAATGTTCTTGATTAGACATGTAGTGCTTCACCCTTGGCGGGGGGAGCAGATAATCAGCTTTATTTATTTAATGGAGGTTCCAGGGATAGAACTCAGGACCTCGTACATGCTAAGCATGCACTCTGCCACTGATCTATACCCTCCCCCTCAGTGCTTCACTCTTAAACAGGCAACATTAGTAAACTCAGAATGCCTGCATAGTTTTACTTTGGTTCTACCAGCTCCCTTCCCATTACCACTTTCCTACAAAACTTTTTCTCCTTCCTCAGGGAAAAAAATCAAAACACCCTTGTTACTTGCTCTAAAATGGAGAATTGGATTGCTTTACATCTGAGGTCCTTTTCAGCTCTGGGTAACCATGAAATTATGACAACCACTAAGTAATCTGTCGTAACAGGAAGGCCACGTGAACGATAGAGGTATCTTCTCAGCATATATGCAGATTATAAGAGGGATTTGAGTCTATAGAACCAGAGGACCAGATTTCTTCTTTTCTCGTGCTCTGTTTCCAAATGATAAAGGCAGGAAAATTTCCAGAACTACTGAGTTCTCCCATTTGCAGGTGCTTCTGCTCTAAAGATTTTCATGATAGTAACTCCTTTATGACTATATTTCAAACCCATAAGTAGATCATGATTCATTAAGCAGCAAATTGTGAGGTAAGTTTGGGAAATACCAGAATGCATTGCATGTAAAAGTAACTGTTGTCTTATGAAACTTCTGTTCAACTATGTGTATTGGAT